TGAAAACAAGTGAAAGTTTTCAAAATTCTAAAGACAAGGAGGTAGTGGATAGAAACTGAATTTTATTCTCATTACAAATTTTTTTAAAAGAGTAATTTGTAAATGGTTCTAAACAAGACGTAGGGGGTGTAAGTAAGCCAAAGTAAATCGTTTACAAATTTGTGAACCCGGCGTGGCATGTTTATTCCCTGGAGTAAGGAAAATCAACCAATAATACTGCTGTGCTGTCTAAAATTTTTCAGTTCATTTTGCTTTTTGGAAAATTGACCTGCAATTACGACAGCAGTATCTTGCTATAACCATCTTTTACGTGAACATATATAATGTCGGTTCTTTAGAAGGATTTCCTTTTTTTTGTGAACTTTAAAACAGGTTACTCGATTTCGACCACTCTTTCCATCCCCTCGAAATTCTGCTAGTTTCCTGAACTGATCTGAACAATTCGTTTTTTTCATACGTGATGCAGGGATATCACTGTAATGTTTTTAACAATGAATTCCTGATTTTTTCAGAAATTCATGTTACTTGTGGCAATTTCCACGCAGAACTGCAATTACACGCTGTCTTTTTCAACTAAAGCTCCAAAGCCCTAAATTTTTCAAATATCCGTAAGGGCTCTAAATTTTTATACTAAAAGTGGGAGATTGGAAATGAAGTTGAAAAAAGGACAATGGGAATTCACGTTTTTAATTTGCATTGCCAAATTACATTTATAGTCCATCTTTGAACTGCTTGGGAGTTTTGCTACAAAAGTGCTGCTAAATTAAGTTACTGCGTGACGTAATGCATTTGAGTGGTTACGTGGGGAGAGATTTTCAGTTTAATCGAAGATTTTATTCCCGCAGCAACTATATTTAGCTTTGTGGAAGAAGTCACTGTAAGTTAGAAAGTACTCGACAATTTCCATGTCACATTTGGAGAGCGAAATTCATAAAAGTACTTTTGTAGCAAAGGGGATCCTAAATGATGAGAAGGCTGCTACTAAAACGGACACAAAGCCATCGGGAGCTGCTGCGAAGGCCGATGTTCTTCAGCAGTAAGTGTTTCTATTCAGCTGCTTTGTATATTTGAATCACGACGGTCTATGCCTAGATTTCAGTGGCTTTTTTGTGCTAGGGGACAGTTTTTTGGTGTAGGAAATTTAGGCTTGAAGG